AGAGAGAGAGAGAGAGAGAGAGAGAGAGAGGGCGTGCGTACGAACGTGCATGTCCGTGTGTATGCTTACCCGTAAGCGTGCATGCTTGTAAGTGTGTGTACGTCTATGTACTTTTACTGAACTTTTTCTTTCTCTTTCTCCTCTGTCCCAGGTCTGGCGTGAGGCGGCCACACAGATCTTTTACTCTCTAGGCCCAGCCTTTGGCACGCTGATCACAATGGCATCCTACAACCCCTTCAAACACAACTGTTACAGGTGATACATCTAAGATAGGATAAAATAAAATGAGAAAAGATAAGATAAAATGAGAAAAGATAAGATAAGATAAAATGAGAAAAGATAAGATAAGATAAGATAGGAGAAAGACAGGAGAAGAGAAGGGAAGAGAAGAGAATGGAAGAGAATATAAGACTCGGTATAAACGGAGAAGCAGATACTCTCATCATTCGTTCGTGGACAATTTGTACATCACCGGGAAGACATAGAAAAGATATCGGTTTCTTTAAAGATAACGTCCTGCCTTCTTTTTGGTCTTGTGAACTACTGTCGTTTCTTTGCTCTACGGGTACATACACAGTCAAATACATGTAATAAAAAATGAACAGCTGCTATCTGCATGACCAAGAAAAAGAGTTTGTTGCCTGTAACGAGTATAAAAAAATAAGATGATAATTTTATTAATTATAATTAGTTGCGAATCATCATTTTGTAGGCCTATATTCACCAAATGCCCTTTCGAAATCTTTGCAGAGATTCTATATTGGTGGCAATCATCAACTGCAGCACCTCTATCTTCGCCGGCTTTGTCATCTTCGCGATGTTGGGATACATGGCTCACGTCACGAACCAGGATATAAAGGATGTCACTAGCAGTGGTAGGTTCATCTTTGGCTCACATTTCAGAGAACTCTGGGGCCTTTTTAATTTAAACAACAAAGAGAGAGAAAGAGAGAAAGTGAGAGAGAGAGAGAGAGAGAGAGAGAGAGAGAGAGAGAGATAGGGAGTGAGAGGCATAGAGAGACCGTGAGTGAGAGAGGGAGAGAGTGAGAGAGACAGGGTGAGGGAGAGATTGAGAGAGAGAGACTGAGAGTGAGTGAGTGAGAGAGAGAGAGA